TATGGTAGAACTATTATAGTGATTGACGTGCAAATTGGTTATTGGTAATTATTATTATTATATTATGTATTAGTGTATTTACAGAATGTATTATTGTGAAATAAATTTCTAAGTAATTTAAAATAATTATTGTAGATTGTCACGTTCACTGTTGACACTAATACGACTGAAAATTTTATAATGTAATATTTATATTTTTTTTAAATTTGGCGAAATATTTCCACAACAGTTTGTTGTATTTATTGTTCATAGTTCGAAGTAGTTAACTCAGTATTTCCAATTAAATAAGTGTTCTGAACTCTGAATAACATAGGTGATAGATTCGTATGAAAATTTAAACGTCACCCACATACAAGGTGTGACACAAAAGTAACGAGACTACGTCTGTAGCTTGAAAAAACAATGTAATTGGCAGCAATTGTTTTTGTGGCATCATCCCACATACCTCCTCTATCCATGTTGCCAATTTCGATTGAATCGGTCATACCATTTGGAAGTATTGCGTTATTTAGTGAACACGTGCAATTGCATTCTGCCGGAAAAATGTCTAACGTAAAAACCGAACAGCGAATAAACATCAAGTTTCTTGTAAAATTTGTTGAACTCTTTTGTAATATGTGATGAAACATGGATTTTTACCTATGACCCAGAAAGTAAGCGCCAGTCAATGGAGTGGAAGTCTCCAGGATCCCCAAAACCCAAAACAGCACGCATGTCAAAATCAAAATTCGACATTAATGGAATTGTAATGATTGAGTGGTTTCCCAGTGGTCAGACTGTTAACTAACACTATTATATTGAACTACTAAAAAGACTTCGTGAAAAAATTAGGAAAAAAAGGCCACAGTTGTGAAGCGATGGATGGCTGTTGCACCAGGACAATGCACCCGCTCACACGGCACTGTCTGCCAAGCAGTTTCTGACCAGTAAAAATGTTACTGTGATGGGACATCCTCCTTATTCACCTGATTTGGCTCCATGCGACACTTTTTAATTTCCTAAAGTTAAATTTTGCTTAATGGGAACCCATTTCACCTCAATTAAAGAGGTTCAGGCAGAAACGGAGAATCTCCCGAAAGGACTTCCAAAAACCACGTTCCAGAACTGTTACCAGCAATGGCAGCACCGAATGCAAAAGTGTGTGAATGGTGAAGGGGACTACTTTGAAGGTGATAATGTCACGGAGAACTGATTCTGAAGGTACAATGATTTATTGGACTAGTCTCGTTACTTTTGTGTCACACCTCGTATAAGTGAGAAGACAATCAAAGTGTTAAAAAATATATAACACATATTACTTTGAAATGAGTTAATCTCTGTAAAATATTTTTCCAAAATGTTTGATTCTTCTTAAATGTACAGGACAACAGAAAAAAAGAACATAGGAAAGACAAAATAAAAGTAAAATAAAAATAACTGAAGGATTACGAAACAGTTTTTGCTCGGTAAAAAATATTGACACAAATCAAAAAGAAGACACAAATTGACAAAAATTGCGTAACACATTATTAGTTACCAGTAATGTGATTAATCTACCAAGAACTACTATTTTTTTAAATTAATCATTTCTACGCAACTGCAGTCGGTAGGTGACGATAATACGTGACGTTAAAGTACTAAAAAGAAAGAAATTGTTAAGATTAAAAACATTGATTTGTTCCACGAATAATCAAGTGTATATGATGCAATTTATCTCGATCTTCACTCAAGTACTTTTGTAAAATCTTTTTAATGAAAGAACCTTTATCTGATAGTTGTTTTATTTTATTCTTTGGCGAGTAATATCGTTGATCAGAACTACCTTTGATAAAATTATAAAAAATGTGTAAACCTTTAATATTTTCATGTATATCTTTATCTATTTTATTTGACAAAAAGGAGATTTATCGTTCGATCATATTGTACCTCATCATATTTTAGAAATTTGTATGTGAAAATAACAAATTGTCTCTCATTGAAATATTTCAAAATATAAACGTAAATAAATCACTACAAAATAAGTTAAGAAAAGAAATCTTTTCTTCTCTTTCAAAATCGGAAATACGTCCCTATTTGATATTACAACAAAGTTATGATTGCTATAAAATGTTTAACGAGAATAACGAAAAATAGGAAGGAATTGAAATATAAAGAATATAACAAATAAGAAGTGTAATAATCGGTAATAACCGGTATTGTACCAATTTATGGAAAAATTTATTGTGTGAAATTAAGCGTCAATAAAACATTATAAATATTTCAAAACTTGACTTGCTAAAGAATTAACAAGATAAAAATTGATAAAAAATTAAACAATTTCGAACGGTTATTGACGATGATTCATTTTATTTGTCTGGAGTTACAAATCTTTCAAAATCATTGTAGATTAATTAATTTCCGCAATAATCAATATGCATGCAAAAATCAGACAGCGTCCTAATAAAATAAATTTCTAAGTCTTATGTTACTTCCTAAAAATGAAATTGTCTATTACATCTTGCATAACCTAATGAGTGCAATCATTTTGATACATTTACGAAAATAAAAAATATTAAACGTGGAAGATTTCTTTATACAGCTTAGAGATAAAATAGAACTGTTCTTTATATTCTCTATTCTTTATTACATTTTCCACTTTTTAGTATATTTTGAAGCATTTCATAATATATTTAAAGCAAGATTCATAATATATTGATTAAAAATATTCTATTCACCAAAAAATATTAGTAATGGAAATTGTTTTAGGAACCTTAATTACGTATTTTTAAATTTATTACACATATCGTACAATGTTTCCAATTTAGTCTTCAGACTATAGTACAATAACATTTCATTTATGACTGAAAATGATTGCGTTTGGTTGTCATATCAATCTCCTTTGTCTATCAAAGATTGAAAAAATAAAATTCCATAATCTTGTAAAAATCATCTAACGATTTTAAACGATCATAAGTTATTGACTTTTGCTATCGACTATTATAACAATATGTTATAATATGTACCAGCTGCTTTTAAAAAACTAATTGTCTATCAATATGTCAAGATTATACAATAGTATCTAAATACACGTCATAAATCTGAACTCATTAAACTGAAAAAGTTCTTTAAATTTAACAATTTGATACGATCATCAATAGCAACCTATAAAACTTGAAACTACGATTGTTTAATAATCATTAAAATTGATATCTTGATTGAAGTTCATGAAGTATTTTGGAAATTTCAACAATTCTAAAATAATTAATTAAAATTTTCATTTGAATGAAATAGGTTTTTACTGAAGAATAATTTACATACATTCTATGCTGAGTATTACAAATTAAAATCACAATAAACATCACTTTGTTCATTATGATCACCAGGTGTATGTCAAATCATGCAAGTTCTCCAAAAATATGTGAAGAGAAATTATTTATTAATGAAACAAGATTTTATAGGACTGAACGAAAACCGTAAATCTGAACCTACCAGAAAATCAGCTAAAAACAATTTTCAAAAATCACCAATAATAATTCATCGCATTCAAGTTGTCAAAAGTAGTCTGTTGTTACATCACAATTGTACATAAATTTATATAAACCAAATTTACAAAACTGTCTGAAATTGGCGATTTTAATATGAACATTAACCATAACTTATTATACACTTGAAGCTACAAATGTTTTAACATCATCGAAGACAACTGACAGTTAAAAAAATCCGGGAAATAATCAAATAAAATAAAAACGAAAGAATAAGTTAGATCTATTTCTTTGTCGACTATTTTTAAATTTCACAACTTTCCTAAATTGAAATGATATATTTGCGTTTAACAATTTCAAACAATCACCAATAATAACTCATCATATACCAGATGCTTCGATTTTCAAAATCATTTAAAAAGGAATTGTCTATTATTAAATATAGAAGTACATTAAATATAGAAGTACATTAAATTTCGAATGATCACCAATAATAACTTATTGTGTGTCAAATTTTGCAAGCTTCAACCATTGATAAAAATTGTATAATATTAAACAAAAATTTAATTACGTATGAAATTAAATCAACCAGGAAATTACAAAAATCATTCGAATTTAACAATGTGATAGAATCACCTATAACTTGTTACATCTTTGAAAGTCACTGAAGTTATTAAGAAGATGTAACAAATTTTTAGAATAATTATTTGAAATAAAAGTCACTAGGTAAGCAAAATAGGTTTTTATATCACATATTACCATTTGAAAAGTAACTTGTTATACAATAAATTAATACCGTATTCCATATAACGTTAAACAAATATTATAAACTTGAACATGCCAAATTAAAAATAAATTATCAAATAAATAAGAATATTGAAAGGGTAAAATTCTAAACTTGGAAAAGTTAACGCGTAGAGGAAATAATGAATGGTTTGAAGTAATCTTACCCTGATTGATGTCTTCCGTAAACCGGGGGTTCAGAGTGTCGTTGGCCTAAACAATCTCGACTGAGAACGCTTTCAAGAACATTTTATAAGATCCGTGATCTTTTGATTACGAAGTTCTATAGTGGAAACGAACTGATAGCTAGGAATTACACAAAGTCCAGAAGATCGCTACCTTTGATAAACCGACGATTTTGCACGAAGGTTACCGATTAAATTAAACACAACTGATACACGAACACTCGGTAGACATCTCAAGAAATATTTTATCTGATTGTTATCGTCAGACTGAGAAGAAGACTCTAGGATGCGGTTACTTGGGAAGTTGGTACAGGTGTCGTCTTCATTACTCCGTGGCATTTCTTTCGTTCGAGGGATCACGATTAAATTTACCCTATCAAATTTTTGTATTCGTGTAACTGTGTACACAAGCAATGTTGCTCTGTTAAAGAACGGAAGTAAGTGCAGATTCTAAGTCAAACTTGAACGTTCTTTTCGTGATTAATTCACACATTTTGGTTTTTATTTACGATAAAGTTCTGTGTGAAAACAAAAGTGAAATTTCCGTCGAATGCATTCCACATTGATTGAGGTTGAATTTATTTTTAGAATCTTCTCATCGTTGCATTACAAAAATAAGAAGAATCAAGAATGAAAACGGTTTTGCATATGACGAACGTGTTTTGTGCCTTGACGGTGGTTGAGTGCATCCCAGAATTACAGTTATTACAAGTTGTAAGTGCAACATAAAATCTTACTTGTATTCGAATATAAATAATATTTAACTGTTCTCTGTTCGAGCAATAAAAATTTCGGGAATAAATTTTACAGGTATTTGCTCATAAAACGTATGCCCCAATTCTGGATCTCATAAGCAGTAATGTTACGGATTCACCAACCAGTTTAACATACGAACACTTTATCAACGCTCCCCGCAGCATGCCCAACGTAAGTTGACAAAATTAAATAACTATACAAGTATCATTAAAAAACATTTAATACTGATTTCTGAAAACATTTTCGAGGTAATAAAGACGTTTGATATTGGACAAATAAAATTGTAAACGTAAAAATTATAAGTTTACAGTATATGCTTCAAAGAAAACAAATTGTTTGATTTAGCTTAGAAAAGTATTTCAATTATTATAGAAAGAGTGAAAAGTATTAATCTTTTCTTTTATTGCGTTTTGTATAATGCTATGTTATAACTAAATAACATATTTAACAAGACCGGCACAAATTATAAAAAATATCTGTAGTGTTCCATACCTTAGACTGTAGACTATCGTAAATATGACATGCAATGATTGCCTGCTTAAATTAATAGAATGGGTCGATATTTAGTAGGCCCTTATGAAATGAATCCTAATCGTACGAGCCAATATTGAACGAACTACATATTACCAAACGGGTTATGATTGTACAAACCTATATTGAGTGAGCTATAACTTTGGGAGAATTTAACATCATATTGAATTTTGCCTACACCTTTCCTAGCTGAAAACATAGTCTGCATTATATTCTTCAAACCATCTGTATTTCCTCTATATGTATTTAACAAAAGGTATTAGCTATGACATACTACCTGTGTATGTGTACAATATTAGCACATATATTTTGCTATTAATCCAATTGACAAAATCAAAATCAAATTATTACATTTAAACAAAGTTTAAGAATTTATAACCTTGGAATAAAACAGATGGGTCGGTGCGCGCACAGCTTTGGGTCCAGTGGCATGAAACAACCGATCATAACGTCATTTTTTGAGTCTCCATCGTACTGAAGGGCTCATTTTGAAGGGGAAGCTTCAAAGAAAATCATCATATTTTTTTTTACCCTTTACGCCCCTTATTGAAAAAACGCAAAAAAGAACTGTTTAAATTTTGCAACATTTTATAACAAATGGACGGAATTAAAAAAAATATTTTAAAATAGCCCAGTCTTTTATAAATAAAACAAAAGAAAATTTAGTTAAATCAGTTGAGTAGTTTCTGAGAAAAAAATTCATAAGTGAAGCCTATTTTCGCAAAAATGGGTAAAAATTGTTAAATTTGAAAGCTTGTTATTTCTTAATAAATTCGAAACCGGCAGAATGATGACTCAAACCCCTCCTAATTTCACACGGACTACAGTATTTCGATTAGAGCAAAATCGCAGATGATGACATCTAAAAGTGATCAATTTTTGTTACCATTTTTTGACGATAATACATGTAATTAAAACTAAAAGTTGTAGATTAATCAAATATACAAGCTAACTTAATTATTTAATTAACAAGTAAATACAATTAATTAATATTTCGTTACTTCCTATTTTTTACTTACAATCATAAATGAATGAAGTTAAGATATATATAAATGATGAAGTTGCAATCATTAAAATGAAGTTAAGATTTTAATTTAACGGCTAACAGGAGAACGAAACATAGAATACTTAACATACACTTATATTCACACCCGCCTTGTATTTTAATACATATCAAGTGTCAATAACACTGTTGAACAAAATAATGTCGCGACTGTCGCATATTTTTAAAAAGAAATCTTTTGAGTATAACAATTTGGCATCCCAGTATAATTTTATTGACATGACATAATAGTTGAGGCCATTTTCCTGTTTCGTTAAAAATAACAGAGACATCTCCTTCTAACGGAATTACTGAAACACCTTGCATGTAAGTACATGTGTATACTCGTATGTAAAATACTTATTTGCATTAACACAATCGTTACTAGATCCAGTTGGATCGAGAAGCGGATCGGTCATTGCAACATTAAGTATCAATAAATAATCAAGCATGTGATATTGTGTAATGGGATATTTAACATCGACAATGGATACATTTACCATTAAGTATAAAGTACGTGATATTGCGTAATCGGACATTAACATTTACGATGGAGTATATGTACATATAATAGTGAGTAATGGCAGCATCCTTCGGCAAAATGGCTATGTAAAACGAGGGAAACTACCACTCATCTCAACGCGATTACTACGCATTAATCGCATATCATAAATATTTGTTAAGTAAATAATAATATGAGACTTTGCGATTAGTGACACTATCACCTTATAAATTTATGTCGAATTTTTATTTAGTAGTTTAAATTATATTCAACACAAAATTTTGTATAATCCAATGGTAAAGAAATAGATTTGCTTAATTAAACATCGTGATTCATATTTTCGAAACAGCAAATTTTCAAATTTAAAATTGTTAAATTTCAAGTTCTCGATTAAAAAATTTTGGAATTTCTCAATTATCAAAGTTTTTAATTTACAAATATTCATGATTAGAAATAAATAAACTTTTAATTTGAAGAATGGTTACTATTAATAAACTATTAATTAAAACAATTTGTAGTATCAATAAATTATTTACTTAAAAGAGTTTTAATCATAATAAATTTTACGTTTACAAATTTACAACATTTTTAATGTTTTGAAATTGCCAAATTTTTAGATTCAGAAATATAGACATTTTTACACTTTCAAATTTATAAATTATTAAATTAACAAACTTTTATGTTTCACAATTGAAGGATTTTAAAATTTACATATATTCAAATTTTTAAATTCATTAATTTAACAAATTCAACTTACTAACTTATAGATTTATAAATGATTAAATTTAGAAATTTTCAAATGTTTGGATTTTCAAATATTCAAATGTTCAAATATTTAAATATACACACATCTAAATCTTCCAGCTTTAACTTCTTGAATATTTACTTAAATATGAAATATATACGAGATAAATAAAAATATATTTATATGTATATATTTATACATATATAAAATATTTACAGCTTATATTTGTAATTTTATATATAAGTATATTATTTATACACAGACGTATGTATTTTATTTTATATAATATATTATATAGTAAAGTATACTTATATATGAAATATATGGACAGATAGAATATTTTAATTGAACTATTAGTACTACAGCTTCTAAGCGTAAGCTATGTCTTTCAGAAAAATATTCCCGCAGCACCATCAGTTGTGCAGCTAATATTTTTAAAATAAAAGATTTTTAGTTTTTATTTGGAAACTTGAGAAGTTTTACGTTTCCAATTTGAATATTTGAAAATTTAGAAATTTAAGAATTAAGAAGCATAAAACTTTAGAAATTTCGAATTTAGAAACATAAAACTTTAGAAATTTCGAATTTAGAAACATAAAACTTTAGAAATTTCGAATTTAGGAAGTTTTATATTTGAACTGTTGAAATTTGCAAATGTAAGAAGTTGGGTATTTTGAAATTTGAAAATGTAAAAAGCTAGGAATTTTCTAATTTGAAAATGTGAGAAGACGGAAATTTGAAAATTCGAAACTTTTAAAATTTAGAAACTTGAGTATTTTTGAAAATTTACAATATAACAAATTGAAGACTTTAAAATTTATAGAACGTAATTGTAGGATTTTGAGAATTTTAGAATGTATTAGTTGGATGTTTTAGAATATAAAACTTTAAAAATGTTTAATAAGAACGCAAGTATATGTATAAATGTAGTTGTGTATATGCGTAAAAATTTGCTATCTTCATGGATTTCGGTACCTGCAAATGTCCTTGAAATCGATCTCCCTCGAATCCTATTGCAGTTATTGTCTTGACACTAATCTATATTCATGGATTTTGTATCCATGGAAGATCTTGAAATCGATCTCTCGTGAATACACAAATCCTGCTGTAGGTATTATCTTGACAATAATTTATGTATCTTCAATCTTTAGAATTTAATGGGTTAATTTTATTCAACAGGCTGGTATGCTTAACATGTACAACCTAGGAGCTCATTTACGTGAGGTTTACAATGAATTTTTGGGTGGCATATATATGGAAAAAACGATGAAAATGCAAACTGCTGATTATCCGTTATCGATGATGTCTGGCCAATTAGTGAATGCAGGTCTTTGGCCTCCGACGGAGATTCAGAAATGGAATAACGATATAAACTGGCAGCCGATACCAACAGGTCAGTAAAGAATGTTGATACGAGAGGAATTCGAAAAGAAAACGCGAGGAATGTTAAAGAATGTTCACATTGTTCGATATTGCCTTGTAGATTACGTGTCCATGTGCAAAGATACTCTGTTACTCGGAATGTATTGTCCAAGTTTTGCTTCTGAAACGATGAAAGTGTTGAATATGGATCAAGTGCGAGCAACAATAAAGGATCATTCAACTTTGTTCGAGGCTTTGTCTCGATACACTGGTATGGAAATTAGCCAGCCGTCTCAAGTGGCTTTATTATATGCTGTTCTTGAAACGCAAGTAAGATATATTTGATGGTCATTTTTAATTAATAACTCACACTCGAAAATACGACGGTTGACAAAAATAGTGGAAAAATTTTGTACGTTATAGTGCAATAGTACAATATTGTTTTATTTCCTTTTCATGCAAATATTTCCTAAATTAATATAGGTAACATTATGTATTTTAACGAGGATTGCATCGTATACTTTAACAAATAGATTAATTCCAGGATTCTTTCTCTACATTAAACTTATTTGAATACTAATTTTTTAATAAAACGTCAATAATAAAAATATTTTTTAATAAAACGCCAATAAAGTTGGATAAAATAATGAGAACTTTGTCAATTTAGAAAATTCTTTGTTAATATTGTAGAATAATATTTAATAATTAGAAAGATTAATGAAGCTTATTAGCAAAGTATGATTAGTTATAATTAATTAAATGCAACACAAATGGAACTTCACGAATTACAAATTTCTCGCGTCTTTATCTCACAATCTCTCACGAAGCAATGCTCTTTTTTCTTTGCTCCCAAAACATTCGATCACACCAAAAAGACAATCTTACAATCTTCTAGCAACCTTCATTACATGCAAACTTCAATCATACCATACGCAAGTTTCATTCATATTATGCACCCATGTCGATCATACAATTACATAGTACATACACACACACATACCACACTTTGATAATATTGCGTTGGGCCGCAATTGAATTTAATCCACAAGTGGAAGTGATGATTTCACTGGAAATTGTTGCCATTTTAATGATAAATTAATATTTCTAGAACAATGTAACATAAAAAAATGATACTGAAATTTCTTCATTAAAATTTAAACTACAATTATTTTCTATATAATATAAAACTAGCTAATAGTAATATAAAAATATTCGCATGAAGAGGAGACAAAATAAACCATACAGAGTCTACTTTTTTTAAAAAGAATGGTTCTATGCGTTTACAATGCATAGAAACAACAAGAGAGTGAAGTAGAATATTTCTTTGAAACTATTTTGCTTAATTCTATTGGACTAAGATCTGATATAAAAAGTACTTTCACTATTTTGTTCAACTCGTATAACTTTGTCATAAGCAAGTAGCAATTCGAATCTTCTTCAGTAACAGATTACTGAAATCACACGAAACTACTTTTTCATTGCACTGACTATGTTACTATTGGTTACTGATATCTTATCGATATCTTATCGATAAATCGTTAATGTCGTCCAGATTATTATTGGTAATACGAATAAAGCGTGAAGCCATAAAATCGATTAAAATAGAATGCAACGTATATTATCGATACACACTCTTTAATTTTCAAACTTCTATAGCCCTAAATTTAATTTCGCAATTTTCAAAATAGAAACTTACAAATATAGAAAATATCCAAAAGAAAGTTGAGTGTTTGGAAGCTCATAGAATTTATACAAATACAAATTTCAAGTCTTTAAATTTCCAAATTATCCAAGCACAATACAGTAGATTCGCATATAACGCAAGTTCCAACAACGCGAATTTCTATAACACGCCAAAGAAATTGAGTTTGCCATTTTCATATAACACGATTCTTCAAACGAAATAATAAAACATACGAATTATTTGCAGTTAAGAATTAAAATCTGCTTTTAGTGGGGCATTATAATATTTTCCTTATCGTATAAATTTATATAATTACATTTTTATTAAATTTGAATGAAATAAAATATTATTATATCCATTCATAATACTTTTTTCTTGAATCAACTACGTATATACAGGGTGTTACCTGTAACGCTACTCACGATTTTTCTCCCACTTGCAGCCACCTTACGAAAAAATGTTTAGGACAATATTTGCAGGGTGTGAAGTGCACAATAGATATTAGTAAAGCAAATTTTTAAAACAGTTTGTTCTCTTGGCAAAGTCAAGGTCACCTTGGGTTTTTTAAATAGGAACATACATTTTTTTTTATTCATAGTTTTAGAGGACATCGAGACGAATTCAAAACATATATTACATGATATTTTTA